TACCTATGTTCTAGTCACTTTCAAAACCCCAGTACAAAGAAAGAAAGAAAGAAAGAGAAAAAGAAATAACTAGAAGCATGAAAATACAAGGCAACTAAATTCCACCTGAAACACCCAACTCCCCAAAAATCTGTGCAAGCTGGTAGGAGGGGAGGAGATTTTAAGCTACACAGCAAATAGGACTGAAAGGGTAACAATGAAGGTAAAACAGTTCTATAATATGCTTGGTGAATTTATAGAATATATAAGTAATCAAATAATGCTGAAGCAAATAATCAGCAAGTGTAGAGAAGACACTAATAAACAGCTAATGAGATGTAGGGATAGGAACTAAGTAGAAGGGAAAGAAAGGAAAACAGCAACAGGAAATTAATGCAATGACTGGAATAAGTCAATACCTATCAATTATAACTCAACATAAATGGTCTCAACTCACCAACCAAAAGACCCAGATTAGCAAAATGGATCAAGAAACAAAATCCAATGGTATGCTGTATACAGGAAACACATCTAACCCCAAAATAAATTCATAGGGCAGAAAACAATATTTCACACAAGGGGAAACTGAAAACAAACAGGAATAGATATACTATTTTGATACATAGTCCATTTCAAGCCAAAGCTGATCAAAAGAGGCAAAGCATGACATTACATATTGGTTAATGGAACTGTTCAACAGGATGAGATTACAATTACAAACATATATGCATCAAACCACAGTGTACTGAACTTCATAAAATAAACTAATAGACGTAAAAGATCAGGTAGACCTCAATACAATTATAGTGGGGGATTTCAATACCACACTATCTCAAATAGATCAACTAAACAAAAATCAATGAAGAAATATTAAAGTTGAACCAAACCTTCGAACAAAAGAATTTAATAGATATATACAGAATGTTCCACTCAATAACAACAACAAAATATCCATTGTTTTTGGCCACCTGTGATATTTTCTCAAAAATAGAACACATAGCAGTGAATAAAGCATGCCTAAACAAAGCAAAGAATCAAAATTTTACCATACATATTATTAGACCACAGTGCAATAAAACTACAGAAACTATGCAAACATATGGAAACTAAACAACACACTGGTGAATAATAAATGGGTCACAGAAGAAATGAAGGAAGAAATAAGGCAGTTCCTAGAATTAATTGATTATGTCCGTACAACATATCAGAACATGTGGGACAAATGATAGTAGTCCTACAAGAGAAGTTTGTAGCAGTGAATGCCCTCAAGAGAAAAATAGAATGAGCCCAAATAAACTACCTAATGATGCATCTTAAGGTGGTCCTAGAAAAACAATAATAATCCAAACTCAGAGGTTGTTCAAGAAAATAAATTATAAAGATCAGAGAAGAAATCAATGAAATGGAAACTAAAAAATGATACAAAGAATAAATGAATTGAAGCACTGGCTCTTTGAAAGAATAAACAACATAGACAAACTTAGCCAATCTTACAACATAGCTAATCTTACAAAAAAAGGAAAGACTCAAATCAATGTAATTACAAATGAAAAAGGTGAAATCACAACAGGCACTGCTGAAATCCAAAAACTTATTAGCAACTACTTCATAAATCTATATACCAAAAAATTAGAGAACTAAGAAGAAATGGAGAGATTTCTAGATATATATGAATTCCCAAAACAAAACCCAAAAGACTTAAAAATCTTGAACAATCCAATAATGGGCAATGAAATTGAAGCAATAAATAATAAAAACTCTGCCAAACAAGAAAAGCTTAGGACCTGATGAATTCACAGTCAAATTCTACAAGAACTTCAGGGAAGATGTAACACCAATACGCCTCAAATGAAATTGAGAGGGAAGGAGTATTATTTGCAAAATCATTCTCGTTATCCTGATCACAAAACCAGACAAGGATCCAACCAAAAGAAGGAACTATAGGCCAATTTCTCTAATGAACATAGATGCAAAACTCCTTAGCAAGATACTGCAAACAGAATGCAACGAATCATCAAAATGGTACACCATGACCAAGTGGGCTTCTTCCTTGGGATGGTTCAATATGTGCAAATCAATAAATGTAATTTTTCACACAAACAGAAGGAAGGACAAGAAAAGGACAAAGGATCACACGATCATCTCAATAGATGCAGAAAAAGCCTTTGACAAAATCCAAAATCCACTCATGATAAAAACTCCGAAGAAAATAGATATGGAAGGATCCTCTCTCACTATGATAAAGGTCCTTTATCACAACCTACTCTCAACATCATATTAAATGGGGGGAAATATGAAAGATTTCCCTCTAAAATCAGTAATAAGACAAGGAGACCCATTACCACTTATGTTCTGCATAGTACTTAAGACATTACCCAGAGCAAGAAATAAATGGGATATGTATAGGAAAAGAGGAAAAAAATTATTATTTGAAGATGATATGACTACCTAGAAGATCCAAAAAATTCCACCAAAAGACACTTAGAATTAATAATTATTTTAAATAGTGTAGTAGGATACAAAATTAACATGCAAAAGCAATAGCATTCTTATACACTAATAATGAACTCCCTGAGAAAAAATTTAGGAAAATAATACCATTCACAATAGCATCAAAAAATTAAATACTTGAATATTAAGCTAACTAAGGAAGTGAAAGACCTCTACAATGAAAATTACATTAGGAAGGCATCAGAAAATGGAAAAATATCCCCATTCCTGGATAGGCAGAACCAACATATTCAAAATGGCTGTACTTCCAAAATGATATGCAGATTTAATGCAATCCCAATCAAAATACCAACATCACAAAACTAGAGAAAACATTCCTAAATTTATATGGAATCAGAAGAAATCTAGAATATCAAAGGCAATCTTGGGTAACACAAGCAAAGCAGGTGGCATCACAACCCCAGACTTAAAGTTGTACTGTAAAGCTACAGTGTTTAAAGCAGGATGTTAGTGGCAAAAAACCCCCACAAAAAACAAAACAAAACAAAAAACCCCACAAAAAACCAAAATAAAACAGGTCTGTGGTTCAATGGAACAGAATAGAAACTTTTCTGAAGATGTTGCAAGAAAGGAACTCTTCTACCTTGTTGGTGGGAATGGAAACTAGTACAACTACTATGGAAATGAGTTTGGAGATTCCTTAAAAAAAGAACTTCCATCTGATCCAGCTATCCTGTCCTAGGTATCTTTTCAAAAGAGGTAAAATGATCATATTACATGGATACATGCATACATATATTGATAGCAGCGTAATGTATAATAGCTAGTTTTTGGAGATAGTGTATATGTCCATCAACAAATGAATGGATTAGTAAAATGTGGTATTTATACACATTGGAATACTAAGCTGCCATAAAGAGAGATAAACTTGAGAATTCATAGGCAATTGGATGAAACTTCAAAACATAATGTTAAGTGAAATAAGCCAGACATACAAGCTCAAATTTTTTTTTTTTTTTTTTTTTTGGTACTAGGGATCGAACTCGGGACCTTGTGCTTGCAAGGCAGGCAGCAGAACCACTGAGCTAAATCCCCAGCCCCACAAGCTCAAATATTGCATGGTCTCTTATGTGAGAAATAAAGACCATCTAAATAAAGTGCAAAAAAGAAGAGAGATAAATAGGAAGTAGGGAGAATTTCAAATACCCCCTAAATTACATATTCTATTGTTTTAAAAATACTTCAGTAAGTATGCTAATTTGTTTCAGTTATACTATAGTTTGTCTTAGTTCTTTGAAAATAAAGTTTTGTGTTATTATCTGTTTCTTTTTTGTAAGAATCTTTTTGTTTTATGTCTTGGACTTTGAGTAATTACTTTGAAGATAATGATACACTGTATTAGTTATTGTTATTCTCTTATTTGGTTATGAAATTTTGTGGTTTTTTTCATAATAAAATACAGTGAATGCAGCTGCCGAGTGCCACCCAGTGGAAAGACAGACATGTAAAAACATTTGTGTCCACCGTATTCACCAAATAGGGCACTATGTGACTTCTGGCTGTTCCCCAAAGTCAAAATAATTATGAGAGATAAATGTTTTGAATTGATTCAGGACATTGAGGCAGCCATGACAGTGTACCTAAAGACACCCACAAAAGGGGATTCCAGAACTGCTTCAGAAAGTGGCAAGAATGATAAGTTTTTTTAAAGCTAGGGGAAGTATTTTGAGGGAGACTAGTGACACTATATCCTTTACTATAATAAACTTAAAAAAAATTTAAACATATACTATGTTTTGATCACACCTCATATATGAAACATTGGGATGTATTTTACTAACTAATTTTATACTATGAAATGTACTTTATCAAGGTAACTAAACTATTTGATAATGAACAAACAGCACTTCTTGCTATATGTTAATTTATGTTACTATGATAACAAAGAACTCAATTCTAGGACCTATAGAATTAATTTTTATCTATTGTAAAGTGCCCAGTTAAAAGCTTAATTTCTTATATCTAACATCTGTAGTTAAAATAAAATATTTCCCAATGCCTACTTGTTGGACAAAACAACAAGTTATTGATTAATGCACATTTGAAAAGACACTGTTTTGTTATGTTGCTGCTAGAGATTGAACCCAGGGCCTCAAGACATGCTGAGCAGGAGCCCAAAAACTGATTACACCCTCAAGCCAGAGAGTAAAACTTAAAAGAGAAAATCTAGTTGTATGCTTTTAAATAGAATAATTATAGAAGTCATTTTTTTGACATTTTAATATTTAATCATATGAAGAGTTGGAAAATTTTTTTCTGAACTTTATCAGTAGAGGGCAGCAAAGATTCAGGTAGTGTGTTCTTATGTTCAAGGGAATCTGCTAAGGAAAAAAAAATTTTGTTACTCTTAAGAAGTTTGTTCTGGCTTGCCTCTTAATGAAGTACTTTGGCAATAACGTAGGAATTTGCTTTAAAACTCTGTAGCTTTGGTTCAGATATTTAGCCATCTCTTCTCTTAGGTGCTATAGATCTTTCTTAATGAGATGTTTTTCTTTCATTCTGTAACTTAGGGAGTACCAGGGCTGGAAAATATGACATTAAAAGTCAGTTTCAGAAGACTGAAAGTGTCACACGGAATGTAATTGGTGCATCTCCTGCTTTTCTTTCTCGATCCCAGGTAAAGATCTATAGCCATTTTTATATATTTTATATAATAGGCATAATGTGGTGTCAGCAGCAAATCCAGTAGAGTTAAGAAGGTTATAAATAGAAAAGTAGTATTTTCGCAAATGAGAAATAGACATGATCTGGGAAAAACATATGCTAAAGAATGTGGATAACATGAAGTGAAGTAAGATTAGAACATTAATAAAAATGAATATCTGAATTCAGTTAAGATTATAAGAAAAGTCTGTTTCACTCTGAATTTTAAAATATACTTTGCCAATAAATGTGAAATCTGTGAGGACATGCATATATCTCAGAGAAGGTTCTGTGGAGCCTGGTCATACACAGGTCATATCTACAAGGGTCATTGGGACCTTCCCTACTGATATTGCAGTTATAGCATATATTCCATAGTATCCAGTTTACATTGTCAAAGGAATGTACCAAGAGGATTTGAAGATACTTAAAATATTTCTAAGGCAAGACAATTAAATTACTGGCAAATACTTATAACGTGACAGCCTCCAGACTAGGATAGTTGTGATATTTATCCACTTGACTACATTCAGTTCTGATTATTTTATTTAACTTGGGAAGGTTATTAACCTCCAGGTGATTACAGATTACTACTCTGGTTTCATTATGCTTAAGAAACAACTCCTTTGAGACAAGTAAATATATTGTAGGCATATTTTGTAGATATAATTAAGAAGACTTTTTAATGGCTTAGGAGTTGTAGTTAGTGACTGGGAAGAATCAAGAATGAATTGTAGATTTCTGTCTTGAGCAACTTAATGATACTTCAGGTGCTGCACAAGATGGATGTGTGAGGGATTATGATGTGTGTATGTCCCTGATTTTTTAAAATCGACTATTCAGACTTACTACCTGCATTTGAACTTACGTTGCAGGAACATGAGTGGCACTGTGGCTTCTTCTACAGTACAGTGCTGCATTTTTGCTGATTGTAATGTACAGTACATTATAGTACTATAGTTTTATGTTCTGTTATACATTACAGTACTGTATGTAAGAGTTCTACAAATAAAACAAAGTAACCAAGTTGGAGTTTCCTTTGACCATCTCTTTGTTCTGATTGTTATAATGTATATGCTATATACAATTCATAATTTAGTGACCAAATCATTTAATGACCTTTTTGAATGAACAGAGTTTGGTCATTAAACAAGGAATGTCTGAACTACAACATGTATACATGTACCGATTACCTGTGATGAATAATTGTCATGTATAGCAAACATATACTAGAAAATAAATAAAATAAAAATATTGCCATGTATCCTCATCTACTTATTCACTGAATCGGGCCCCATGGGACTTCTGGCTCTTCTTCCCCTCAAAGTATATATTTATATCATATACTGTATATATATATTTGTATGTGTATTTAGAGGTAAAGAACCATTACATATACAACATTACATTAAATACATATATATACATACACACATACCTGTGTGTACATGTGTGCATACACACACACACACACAGAGGGAGAGAAGATGGGGGAGAACTGATAGGTAAGCAAACAGAAAGAAACACAGGGAGAGAGAATAGGGAACCCTAAAAACAGCAAATGAGGGGGACATATTAACAATGGGTAAATCTGAGTAAAGGTTACACTGATATTTTTTGTATTTGTATTTATGCAAGTTTTCTGCAAATTTAAAATTGTTGTCAAATAATAATTTAAACTAAGACGATGCTATGCTTCATAACTGTACATATAGATGCATGCATAATTAATAGTTATACATTTATAGGTTAAACTGGATTTATAAAGTACTTCATTTTATTTTTCTTAAGTAATGATATTTTTGTGTTAAGTAATATCTTTTAGAAACATGGTTAATACAGTGTAATTTGATTAAAGAAATTAAATGAGATCACAGTATTTTAATTTACTACTTTAACTTATAGACTGTTTTAAATGTAAAAATTATCCAGGTACTATAATCTAGAATCTTATGTTGAGATTATTTACTTCAAGAATTCTGTCTGCCTTGGTAAGGCACATAATACATTACTATATTAGCACATAGGTGATTTTACTAAAATCTACATATTTTATGTTTTGATGGGCATAAGATCTTAATTTATCTACATTTTCTTCACTCCATTAAGAAATAAATTAAACTGTAGATCTTATATTACTCATAGGCAGCTTTTAACTCCTAAAATATCAAAGTGTACTAGTTTTTAACTGGCATCTCTTCCTGTTCTTTACCAGAGATTTGTACCTATGAAATCAATCACCCCAGCTCCTGGTACATACAATGAACCTCGAACTGCTTTCAAGACTTCAAAGAAAACACCAGGATTGAAAAATACTCCCTTTGGTCAAAGTGCTGCTCGATTCACACAGGACTCCATGGCAGAGGAAATGCCAGGTTAGCAGTTAATCCTTTCTACTCTTTAATTTGATGTAACTTAATATTCTTAGGCCGATGGATACACCACAGAGTATGTTTTCATCTTCATCCTATGGTTAGTGGTATCATTCTAGGTCAACAACTCCTTACAGAATCAACTGTGCACTAAACACAGGTAAATCAAAATAAGGTGCAGTTTTAGCAAGATTTCCCTTTAACCTGTCATACATCTTAATTGTAATTTTGTGTTGTTTTTCTTTAGTTAATAAATGTCCTAATTTTCTCTTGGTAGATGAATATATATATATAGTATTCAAGTATTCTCAGTGGATATTCTAGAATATAGAAACAAAATAACATAATTGGTATCATATAATTCTGGTTATCTATTGCCATGTAAAAACAGGTTTAAGATAATAGACATTTGTATTATATTTCATTCTTTTGTGGAATGGCTGGAAGGCAGGGGTCAGATGGGGCTGTCCCCTGAATACATACATGGTTCCACAATGGTTGCCTTAGTTGTGTCTGATTTTTAACATAGTGCCTCATGGTTTCCCAAGACCTGGCCAGATGCTGCAAGGCTTTACCTGACCCAACCAAAGAACACCCAGAACATGCCTTCTGCCCATTGGTCACTCAAGGATGCATGTATCAAAGAGAAAGACATGAAACTTCACCCTCAATGACAAGGTAGAAAAGAATTTATCACCATTTTAAGTTTACTATGTAGTCTCTGGCCACAAAATATTCATTCTTCCTCCATGCACCCTTCTCTTCTCAAAGACTCCCAAGTCTGATGCAATTATGGCATGACCTCAAAGTTTAGGGTCTTGTCATTTAAATTGGGTGTAGGTGCAGATTAGCATCCTTGGGTGTGGTTCTCATGAGTATGATTCTTCTCTGTCAGAAGGCCTATGAATCAGAGATGAGTTGGTTTATTCAACATACAATGATGGAAGAGAGATAGGAGAATCATACTAGATACTGCTATTGGAAAAATGGGAAAACTGGAGGTCCACGGCAGCTACACAGTGATTCTGAAATATAACCTGGTAGTGGTTGGAATTTCCTTCATTAGGGCCCATGTAGACCCTCTGGAAATGATTGTTTGACCTTCTTGTTTTACCATTTTGATTTTAGTTTTATCTTTTGATTCATCCTTCTTTTTTCTATGAGAAGTAGGATATGTTTGGAGTTGGAGCTTTCATAGGTGCTTTCTACTCTTAGAAGATTGGAGGTCTATAAGCTACTTTCATTTTGTCCCTTTCATCTAAAATTCCTTATAAAAACTTGGTGAGTTTATTTTTTAATGAAATATATTTTTTATTATGTTTGTTAATACAGTTTAGATATACATAATGATCACTTTCATCATATCGAATTTGTTCCTGTACATGATATATCGTAATTCTTATTTTTTTTCCATTCCCCTCTTCTCCTTTCAATCCCTCATCCCCTCTTTATTTACAAAAGCTTTGTTTCCATTTTGTCTTTCTTTTCTCATTTTTTTCTTTTCCTGTCTTTTCCTCCTTCCCTCATGCTCCTTCCCATTTGAATAATTTCTTCCTATTTCACAATGTATTGTACATTTCAGTCCATATTTATATTTTCAGTCACTCACACCAGAGAAACAATGTGATATTTACACATTGCTTCCCTTTCATTTTCATTAAAGAGTTTGAGGACTAGTGGCATTAAGTCTTCTCTAAATTTCTTGTACAATTCAGCAGTGAATCCGTCAAGACCCAGATTTTTCTTTGCTGGTAGGTGTTTAATTACATCTTTAATTTCATTAACTGATATTTAGTTTTTTAGAATGTTCATATTTTCTTGACTCAGCTTTAGTGTTTTGATTACCATGATTTAGTTTACTGTGTTAATGCTTGTAAGTTCCTTATGGTATCCAGGAATCTATCCATTTCTTCTGTGTTTTTCATCTTATTAGAATAAAAGTTCTTGAAGCAGGTATTGATCTTCTGGATTTCTGCAGAATCCATTGTGATTTCACCCCTTTATTCCAATTGCATGGATTTGAGTCTTTTCTTTCCTTCTTTTTTGATAAATTTGGCTAAAGTTTTAACAATTTTATTTAATCTTTCAAAGAAGCAACTCATGATTTATTCTTTGTATTATTTTCTTGTCTCAATTGCTTTAATTTCTGCTCTGATCTTTATAATATCCTCCTTCATATGAGCATTGGGTTGACTTGTTCTTTTTCTTGAAGTTTGAGGTTTAACATTATGTTGCTTATTTGAGCTGGTTCTGTTTTCCTGATGTGAGAATTCACCACTATAAATTTCCCTTGTAGGACTGCTTTCATTGTGTTCCATAAGCTCAAGTATGTTCTTCTGACATTATCATTTAATTGTGGAAATGGTCTAATTTTTTCTGTGACCTATTGGTTCTTTAGGAGGATGTTACTCAATTTTCATGTGTTTATGTAGTTTTTTCAGTTTCTTTTGCCATTAATTTCCAGTTTTATTGCACTATGGTCTGATAGTATGCATGGAGTAATTTCAATTCCTTTGCATTTACTTAAGCATGTTCTGTGACTTAATATGTGGTCTATTTTGGATATGGTCCCATGTGCAGCTGAGAAGAATATGTATTCTGAAGTCATTGAGTAGAACACTCTGTAGACTTCTGCTAAGTCCATTTCTTCATAGACTTGGTTCATTTCTTATATTTCTTTGTTGACTTTTGTCTCATTGATCTATTTGTCACTGTAGGGTATTGAGATCTTTCATTGTAATAGTGTTCATGCTTTTTTGATTTTTCATGTCCATTTATTTTTGCCTTATTGAGTGCACTGGTATTTTATGTATGATTATTGTCTCATCTTCTTGGTGTTTTCCAAGTATGTAGGGAACTTTTTTTGTCTCTTTTGATCAGTCTTGGGTTAAAGTTCAATTTATCTGCAAATAGGATAGCTACTCCTGCTTTTTTCCAGGTTTGTGCCACATCCAGTATTGTTTTCCATCCTTTGACTTTCAGGCTATGAATTTCTTTTTGAGTTAAATTTGTTTCCTGTATGCAACAAATTGTTGGATCTTGTTTCTTGATCCATTCTGTCAGTCTGTTTCTTTTGATTGGTGAATTGAGACCATTTTCATTGATGATTATAACTGATATACATTGCTGTATCCAGTCATATTATTTTCCTGTTGTTGGTTCCCTGTTTTTCCTCTTTGTTTAATTGTTTGCCTTGCTGGATGACTTCTTTCTGTTGGTTCTTTGAATTGTGGTCTTCATTATCTCTTTCTAAAATATCCTTCAGAACATTTTGTAGAGCTGGTTTGGTGGTCATGGATTTCTTCAGTTGTTCAACATCACGAAAGTATCTTATTTCTCCAATAATTCTGTTTTTTTTTGTTTGTTTGTTTTTTTTAGTACCAGGGATTGAACTTGGGTCCTTGAGCTTGCACAGCAGGCAGCAAAACCACTGAGCTAAATCTCCAGCCCTCTCCAGTAATTCTGAATTTTGCAGGGTACACCAATTTGGATTGGAGGTTTTCTTCTAGGACTTGGAATACTTCATTCCAAGCTCTCCTTGACTTATAATTTTGTTTTGAGAAGTCTGCTGTGATTCTGATGGGCTTTCCTTTACAGGTGATTTGTTTCTTTTCTCTATCAACTTTTAATATTCTGTTGTTTTGCTGAATTTCTGGAACATTGATCATTATATTTATTGGTGTAGATTTAATTTGGACATTGATAATTGTAGTTCTGCATGCCTAATTTATTTGCATGTCAAATTCTTTTTCCATGTTTGGGAAATTTTCTGCCATTACTTCTATGAATAGGTTTTATATGCCATTTGTGCTGACTCCTGCTTTTTCATTGACTCTGACCAATCTTATGTTCTTTGCATCAGCTTGCATCTTTTGGATTTCTTTTTCAGGATCCCTTGCTATTTTTAAGAAATCTTTCTTTTTATGATTGCTAACTACAATCCTGTCTTCTAGGTCTGATATTCTGTCCTCACATTATTCATTTGGCTTTGTAATGTTTTAGTGGAATTTTTAATCTCCCAGATATCTGTTTGAATCTGTTTAATGGATTCCATTTCTTATGTTGGGTATTCATGGTTTCCATCATTTGCCTAAAGCACCTCTATTTTTTAATTTATGCCTACTCTAGACTCACTGAGCAAGTTCTTCATTGTGATCATCATCTCTTTTGTTACATGAGATAGTATTTTGATTTGATTTTCTTTATAGCCTACTTCACCTGTTTAGTTACTTCTGCTTCTATCCTTTCAGAAAATTCAGGATGATGTCTTCTGATTTCTTCTAACTCAGTGTCCTCTGGATTTGTCTTGGGTGGGCTGGAAGGCTGGGGTTGCATTTTGCTTCTGTGTTTTGTCATTTTTCTATTTTTATTTTAATTTCTTTTCTGTGTTGATGCTTGTAATATCCTTATGGTAGGTAACTTTGTCATTTGTATTGAGGCTCACCTAGGAAGTGTCTGCTCCTCAGAGATATCTTCTAGATGTAGCTGGCTCTTATTCTTTATATCTGTACCAAGATCTTACCTTCCCAATTTATTAGGTATGAGAATTTGCTATCTATCTGACTCAGGATCCAGTCCTCTGGTACTGGACTATGTTGATGATCATTACCACAGAAAATCACAGTGTTGTCATGCAAAGGAGAACAACTGACTATAACAGGAATGGCATCCTGGCTAAAGTAGTACCATTAGCAATAACCATAGGATCAAGCATAGCCTAGAAACTAACAAACTGTGGTAATTATTAATTTCATACCTTTAACTATATTAACAAGATCTATAGTTTTATAACAAAACCCAATTAAAACCAAGAACTTGTATGCAGTGAATTTCCCTTTGGTAAAGTGATTTTACCCTGTGAAGGTGGCATTTAAGAGGGATAGGGGACAAAACAGAGAGATAACTGAAGAGAAATATAATAGAAGGAAAGCTGAAGGTCAAAGGATGATCACCCAAGCTTTGGGAAACTGAAAAAGAGGACACAAGAGGAAGAATGAAGGAGAAAGTAAAAGAATATTGAAGTGAACCAGAAAGACTAGAGACAATGTTCACTTACATGAAAATATCAAAAGATCAAGAAAAAAAAGTTAAGGAAAGAGATAATTGTCAAAATAAACAAACAATGAAAGTAAAAGCCTAAACAAACAAGAAAGAAAAACAGAAAAAGGAAAACAAAACAAAGAAAGATTAAAAAAAATTCCTTTGGTGTGCACAGTTCTGTGGTAGTGTCCAAATCAGAGCCTAAATCTATGCTGGGTAACCCTGCCACATCTGCAGTAGGATTAGTGCTGATCTTGGCCTCTGGATGTGGGGGCTAGGGCCAGTCTTCAGCCTGCATCTTTCTGGATGTTCCTTGGCAGCCTGCCCTCATCTCCTTACCCTGTATGAGTCTGTATCACTCTCCCAGTTGCTGTAATGCCCTCAGACCAAGGCTGCCTGAGGATGCTCCCAGTCCCATGCACAGTTGGCCCCTCCCTGACCTTGCACAGCCTCCTCTGTTCCACTCTGCTGGTCCTCTCTCATAGCTGGTTGTAGGGTGAGAGAAGTGCTGACTTCCATTCCCATTCATTGTCTCACTGGTCCTAGGCTGATTCATTCCTGCATTGACAATGCTCTCTCACATCCGCTGGTCTCAGGGGAAGGGGAGTGGTGACTTCACTTCCTGCATGTTATCCCAC